TAGGGTTTAGGGTTTAGGGTTTAGGGTTTAGGGTTTAAGGTTTAGGGTTTAGGGTTTAGGGTTTAGGGTTTAGGGTTTAGGGTTTAGGTTGGTTGGTGTTTAGGGTTTAGGGTTTAGGGTTTAGGGTCTAGGGGCTTAGTTAACGCGGCATACGTAAGCAACTGAGTCCCCGAACCCATTGGCCTTTAGTACTCGCGCTTCCAAGCCCTAAGCCCCGAAGCCCTAAACCTGTTAAAGCACGCAAGTGCTCGACTCCGCGCAGGCGGCCATGTTGTTGGCGAAAGCCAAGTAGCAACAGCCTCAGCTTCTTATCAGTCCTTTGTAGAGAATATGGAGACTATGGTACCTTGCATTCCCCTACATAGACCCCAGAAGGGATTATACAGGCTGAGGTAGAGCGGCACTGAAGCGCCTGATGAAGTGAGTGCTGGGCATGGTTGTGGTTGAGGACCAGAGTGAGGTGGCAGTCAAGCCACAACAGGGTTTAGGGTTAAGTTTAGGGTCTACAGGGTTTAGGTCCTTTTAGGGTTTTGGGTTTTGGGTTGGTTACGTGTACCGCATCGCTGTAAGGCTGAGTCCATGACTCAGAGGCAGCATGAGCTCTTCAGGACCACATGGTGTAGCGAGTGCACAGAGCTGGTGGATTCCAAGATATCCCTGAGGCGCCGCCGCGTTCCACGGTTCCACCACGCCACGGCCACTTGGCGGCCTTTTTGGCCCTGTAGATGTTCCCTGTCTCCAAAGGGCCCCAGCACGGAAGTCCCTGCTCAAGTCCCACCGCGTGCCCTCAATGGGTCGGGAACAAGCCGACTGATAACTCACAACTAGGAATCTGAGACAGAGACAGGGGGAGAAGACTACATCTGAAAAGGCTTGAGTGCTGGCAAGGAATTGCAACATGCACACCATGCGAACCTTCACTCAGTCACACGTAAGCACCTGAATCAGAGCCGGCCCTAGATTGAGCATTACTGCACTTTCTGCCCGAGAAGGCAGATGGTAAAGCCATTGTAAAGCCAGCGCTGAACGAATGCAGCATCAGCAGCGCAACCACTTGCGCCAGCCTGCTCGTGTACTGCAAGTACCTCACAGCCGAAGCATCAACCGAATATTCTTGAGGTTCGACGAGTATATTCGAATGATCAGATGGTGACATAAACACCAACACACACACACACACACCCTCGGAGATTCTAAGCTTGGCCATTTTGCAGAGCCTGTGCTTAGGGTTTAAAAGGGTCTTCTTGGAGGTTCATGGGTACTTAGAACTCCAAGCATAGGTCTACTGATAACCTACTTAGAGGACTTGGGGCGCTTATAAGTGCAGTCATACATGGGGTTACAAGTACCCTGAACCTGAAATTAGTTTAGGGGGTCCAAACCCTAAATCCTAAACCCGTTTAGGGTTATCCACCCAACTCCACCATTTTGCCGAGAGCCTTTGCAACCCCGCCACCAAAACACCTCGCAGCCCTCCCGCCTTGAAGCCCAACGCCCCGATTGCTTTATGGGTTTTTCGGGTTTAGGGTTTAGGCCAGCTTCCCGCAGTTTCGACTTGGCGCTTAGGGTCACCAAGCAAGAGAAGTCCACCTGAACTTCCAATCCCAAACCCTGAACACCTTGACCCTAAACCCTAAACCCTAAACCCTAAACCCTAAACCCCAAACCACGTCCTTGAGCTCCCAGGAATCCCTCTGAGTTTCGCGGGGATGTTTTGGGCAGAGATGGCCGGCTGTTGGGCTGCTGCCCTGGGGTTCAATGTTGGGGATTGAGCTAAGTAATGGTCTCCTTTGGGTGCCGTATAGCTTCTAGAAGGAACATGGTCACTTCTCTAAAATATGGTCCCTTTAGCCTTTGGGGGATAATTTAGAGACCTGAATATATAGCGCCAATTTAGGGGGAGTTGCTTTAAATTAGGGCCTGCGAGGACCTTTTTACCAGAATACCTTCGGGGATCTCTATTTTTGAGCAGCCCGCCTTTGGGAGTTTGGTTTCTCGGGCTACGAACTGCAGGGTTTATGGTCCGAGTTGGAGGTCTTGGAAGGAGGGGCTTTTTCTTTCAGGGCACAAGCAGACCAGCAAGCCTATTGATTGAAGAGTCTACTCCACATCGCAAATGGGGCAGGGGCTTGGTGCTGGACTGGGGCGAAGAACTATGTATGTGATGACAACCTTCTTTGGTACGTGTAGCCCTGAACATGGAAACTGCCCAGCTTCAGGTAGCGCAAGTTTCTTTCGGAAGTGAGATGGGGTACCAGGAGCTGGTTTGTTGTTTGGGGTTTAGGGGTTGGGGTTTAGGGTTGAGAGTCGCTGCATTGAGGCTGGGAGGGGGGGGGGGGAATTGGGCTTAGGGCATGTGCTAGGAAAGTGCCTCTGTCGCTTGCGCTTCTAGTGAAGGTTGAGACGGAAAGGGCAAGCTGTATGTGGAGCAGGCTGGTGCAGCCTTGTTGGCCAAGAATCCTGCTGGGTAGGCTTGTGAACGTCGGGCGTTCCCCTTACGACAGCGGGGTGCCCCTGCTGTGTTGGCAGTGGTTCGGTATATCCACGTTATGAACACGAGACGGCTCATCGAGAAGTCTTGTCGGAAGCCAACTTCTCAATGATGCCGAACACATGATGACACAGGCTAGCGCTATAAACCCTAAACCCTAAACCCTAAACCCTAAATCCATGTAGGCTATCAGGGGCACGACGTACGATATTGTTTCTTTCAAGTTTTGCTTCGAAAGGGCAACCTGAGATGCAGCGAGTCCCGAGATATCCGAAACAGCACACAAACTGGAGAACCCTAAACCCTAAACCGTATAAACCCTAAACCCTACACCCTAAACCCTATAAACCCTAAACCCTAAGCAGGTTGCCTTTCGCCTTTCGTTTCCACTTATAATCATGTCTCACTTCCCCTGTGGTTGCTCGGAGTCAATGGCACTGCTTTACCAGCAGGGTTTAGGGTTTAGGGTTTAGGGTCTAGGGTTTAGGGTTTGGGGTTTAGGCCTCATGGGTTCTAATTGATACATCCTGAAGAGCAACGCTCTGAGCCGACCACGACCCGGTAGTGTCCGAGACTTTTTGGGATACAGGCTTCCACGCCCACCCTGGTGGACTCAGCTTTGCACGGCTTAGTGAACCTAGGGAACCCCTAAAACCCTGAACCCTACATCCTATGAACCCCATGGAGGAGTACCTGGGACTTTGTTCTGCTTGCCTAAGCTCTGTAGACATCCCAAATCTAGGGAACTTGGCAGGATCGGGGTTGGGGGGGGGGTGGGGTCGCTGTTGTCCTGTGAAGGTGCCCATCCCAAAGCCCCAAGCCATCCCTGACGAACCCAAAGACGGACCCTCGTCCACATGGGCTGGTAGTCGTGCTGGGCATGTCCCTAAACCCTAAACCCTAAACCCTAAACCCTAAACCCTAAACCCTAAACCCTAAACCCTAAACCCTAAACCCTAAACCCTAAACCCTGTGCAAGTAGGAGTCACTCACGGAGGGCTCCGGAAGGAAGGTGAAGACGCATTGCCTCAAAAATGCTTGCACGCGCAGTCTGGACTCTTTGAGGCCTTGGGGCCCCTGGGCGAGCTGGGGAGTTGCAACCGGGAAATGCAGCCCCATCCATCATATGGTAGGTTGGCATGAGGATCCGTTGCAATCTGACCGTGTACTTCCAGATGTTGGAGCGTACTGGGTTCGATGGCCCCTTGCAGCCAACACAGAGTAGTTCTTGGGGCGGTTGGGTTAAGAAAATCATGTCGACCACGAGGTTCCGGGGTTTCCTGGCTTCGCCCACTTTTGGGGGATTGTTCTGCTAAGTCCAATCTCAAAGGATGCTGTTGTAAAGGCTACCCTCGACCACTTGTGAGTGTCGAAACAGAGTTGAATCAGTCTTGACATGGAGAGTTGGAGTTGGGACGGATGTCGCAGCATAGGTTGCTGATAAGTCACGTTCCTGACACACACACACACACACAGGCATGAGCTCCTGCTGAAGTCATAGTGTGCTGGGCGCGCTGGTGCACACCAGGTAGAACATCATCTTGTGTGTTCTAAGATGAATAGAAAAACACGAGCTGAACAGACAAGTTCGGGTGCTATATGGAAGTCCCCTGCGCAAGATAGAGACCTTCCCCCATCCCGCGCTGCCTACAAGAGGCAAACTGTCAACTCTACAGCCGGAGAACTGCAGGCATAACCGGTGCCCTAGGCCACACGCTTCTTGCGAAGGGGCCGGGGTTCAGGGGTCCTTGCAGTGTTGAAACTGGCTGCAGGCGATCACTTGCGGCACACTGGGCTCCGAAGCAGCGTAGCTCACCGTGATGCCTCTCAAGAAGGCCGAGGACAGCCATGCGTGGCATGCTTTTCCGATCTTTGCAAGCTTTCAGAACCTTACGCCCCAAAACGCGAAGTCCTCAACCATGTGGGTTCTTCATATACATATGTATATACATATATATATATATATATTCGTGTTTTTGTTGAATAGTTTGTTTATGTATATACGCAGCTGTATACTGAACCAAGCCTACCAAGTCTGAAGCATCGACTGATATGGCTCGACCAACAGCATGTCCTCGTTGAGTTCCTCGGCCAAGGAGAAGAAGTCCCCTGCTCGAGCGGATGAGCAAGCAGGGAACACAGGCGTCGGTCCTGCATGGACTTAGGGGGGGCGGGGAGTGTATTGGGAGGCTTGACGCGCGCACAAGGCCTAACTCCCGAACCTTGCCAAACAGCCTAAACCCCTGAACACCTAAAGCCCTAGATGTTTGTTCGTGCTTGGACCAACAAAACCCCAAACCTTGAACTCCAAACCCTCAACCTTTGAACCCTAAACCTTTGAACCCCATAAGCCCCAACCCTAAACCCCAAACCCTTAACCCTTAACTCAATGACCTCACAGAACCCAAGACGCAGCTCTTCGGCTTACTTTTCGTGGCCGGTGAAGAGTTTCAAGGCTCAGGATCCCAGTATCATGACAAGACCATCGGTTCGCATGTTGCAACCTTCCATGGCACCATGGCTCCTGGCTTCCTTCCTGGCAGCAGCTGTGGCAGACACCAATCCCACAGGCAGTAGCTCCTGCCCCTGCGTGGAGTGGGCCGGGCTACAGGGCTACATTCAGGGCGGCGAGCTGAAGTATACCCCACAGGGATCCACCTCTTCGTATGTGTATCCGACCAACTATGGGAATCTGGAATGCAAGGCGCATGACGCCGGCCTGGCTCCCCATTGCAGCGGAGCATCGCCTCCGGCGTGGTGTAACAAGCCTTGGTGCTACGTTTCCACTGCCAACTGTGTCGGCATCCAGCCCTACAGGAGCGTGAAGTTCCCAGGATCGGATGCTTACTACAGTTACCAGACCTGTGGAGAGTCCAACGAGTTCACCCTCTGGGCGGAAGCCATGGGCACAGACGGCACGGTCACGAGCGACCCGACAGCTGCGCCTCGAGTCACCGAGCTCCTTGATGTGGTGATGGACTACCTCTGGAGCACAAGGGACTCTTTGGAGGCGCAGTATGTCCAAATGATGGCCAACGGCAGCGTGAGCGCATGCAGCTACATCGACTTTTGCCCGTGTGTGGAGTGCTATCAGAATGCACTCTGGCAGGAGAAGATCGACCCAGCCACGGTAGGAGCGTGGCTACGACCTTCCGTGATTGGACAGACTACACAGGAATGGAATGTCCTGACCTGCCTGGTGGGTCTTGTAGCAGCCACCTACAGCAGTGTGGCGGCAAAAGAGGGTCAGCCACTCGAACGTATCGGCTACCAGTACTTTGCCGACCAGAAGTCTGGTAGTTACATTGGCTGGCCTGCGATGGACTGGTGCCCGACGAACTACGACCCACGTTTCCGCCCCTGGTACGCCTCGGGCTCGACGGGTCCGAAGGATGTCTTGATTGTCGTGGATGTGTCGGGCAGCATGGGCGAGGCGAATCGCTACAACCTTGCTCGGCAGGCGGCGGATGCAGTGCTGGACACGCTGGACTGGAAGGACTACGTGGGCGTGATCCTCTTTCATCATGGCCTTTCTGGGCTGTACTCCGAGCGTTTGGTGCCTGCGAGTGACGTCAACCGCAACAGCATCAAGCGATGGTTGGATGATCAGAACTTCAGGAGCGGGGGCACGGACTTCAATGTCGCTTTAAACGCGGCCTTTGACATATTTCAGGCCAGCATAGCTGCGGGGGAGACCTCGATGTGCCAGAAGGCAATCATCTTTCTCACGGACGGAACTGCGGAGATGTCGAATGACAACTTCGTAAGTGTCCAGCAGCAATCGGTGACCTACGATGCAGTTGTGTTCGCATATGCCTTAGGTTCAGGAGCCGACACCACGGTGACGAAGCGATTGTCCTGCGAAAACCGTGGGATTTTCTACCAAGTCCCGGACGGGGCGGATTTGAGCCGCATCATGGCTAGTTACTACGAGTACTTCGCCACAGGGCAGGAGATCTGCCAACCCTCTTTCACGAGCTACACTGACGTAGTCACAAACACGAAGTTGTGGCCAGTCTGCCTGCCGACCTATGACCGAGCGGCAGCAGACCCCTCACTATTGGGTGTCACTTGCTTGGATCTCAACATGATCGTGGACCCAGGGACCATACAGTCCGAGTCGTACTGGGACGACATCAGCTGCAAGGTCTCCGATTTCACGAAGACCTGCCAACAGTTGGATACCAGTGACTGCCGCCTGCAACGGCTCCGGGCCGCCGTTGGCACAGAGTCTGTGTGTGAAGGTGACGTGCCGAACACCTGCTCTTGCATGGACCCAGATTGCCAAGATGACGCGTCGTTCATCGACGAGAAGGGCTACTTCTGCGATACGTGGGTTGGTGACGACTGCTCCAAGGCTCAAGAGGCCTGGGGCTACTCTGCCGCCGGCCAGCAGGCAGCACTGACAAGGTGCCGGCGCTCTTGCGGGCGATGTTCCATGCTGTCCCCATGCCCAACCAAAGAGCGGTGTGTGGGCACTGAGCGCTTCTCCTCCAGCGGCTGTCGGGCGTGCCGTACGGACAAGGTGTCTGGGGTCGACATCCAGGGCAGGCAAATGGCCTGTCCAGGCGTTTCCACCTCTGCTACCCCCAATGCCGGCGGCGCATCGGCCAGCTCGAGCAGCATGAGGCTGATGGCTGTGCTCGTGCTCTTGGCACGTTTCATCGTGGCATAGTCGAGACCGCCGCTGTAAGTTTCGCCTGCTTCAGGGCTTGTTGACAGTGACTCGTTGTCGCAGGGCACATGTAGTACAGACCAAGCTCTAAGAGCTCCACAATGAGAGCACACAGGCCAGCCAGGCCCAAGGATGGATGGCCTGAAGGGCACGCTGATCGAGTAGCCCTACAATGCGCCGATGAAATTCTCACTTCAGCTTCGGATGGGAGTCCTGGAACTATAACCTCCTTAGGAACTAGTTTTTGGTTTTATTCATATAAAACCCAAGGGAATAATAAGATATTGTTTTTTAAATAAGGTTCTAAGGGGAGTATAGGGAATGGGCAAGAGCAAGCATAAACCTTCAAGTGTTCAGGTTGGGGATTCGGGGCGCAGCAGATTTTTGCTGGCAAGAGTCCCTGCGGAGCAAAGGAACCCCAAAATGGGGGTCATATACCATATACTATCAAAATCCCTACTAGGGTATGTGAACCATAAACCTTTTTGGGGTTCACTTGGTCCACAAGAGTGGTGGCCAGTCCCAAAAGCATCTTCTTCTGCCACGCCGAGGTGCGCCTCAGTACAAAGTTGGTTTAGGGTTTAGGGTTTAGGGTTTAGGGTTTAGGGTTTAGGGTTTAGGGTTTAGGGTTTAGGGTTTAGGGTTTAGGGTTGAACGAGTAGGTCCAGTAGTTTTGGTGTGCCCAGGGGCTCCAAGAGTCTGTGGGGGCGTTCAGAGAGAGTCAGGGTATTTCATGTCAGGGCCTTGGGGATTCCACGGGGCGTTGTGTTCTTGGAGGTTCGTTGTTTTTTTTGGGTTGCGGGGAAGGTGGGGCTTTCCGGTTTTGATGTGTTTGTTCGGGGGGCCTGACATCCAAGTGTAAGTTGAAAACTTGATGTCGGAGCGTAGAAATTGACATCCGTTGGGCGTTGTGGGGCTTTGGGGGGCTTCAGGGGGGCTTCGGGGGGGGTCAGAGGCATCAGGGTGTTGGAGCTTCGGGGTTGAGCCTGGCGAGGATTTTCCGGTGGCAGGTTACAGTGTTCAGGTTTTTCGGGTCAAAGCGCGTGGTTTAGAGATTACATAGTGTTGAGGGGAACCTTGCACCCTGAACGATCCCTAAACTCCCTAAACCCGGCATTTCCGCGTCTGATTCTTGTCTGCGCAGGTCGGCATGTCCTCGGAGCTGTCAGCGCTTGGCATTCACCCGCACTCTGCCCGGCCACGCGCCGAGCCTCCGCTGTTGCCAGACCTTCAAGTTTGGGGTTTGGGGTTTAAAGGTCTGCGAAGAGCTTGCATGGCTGAAGTTGCCGATGTTTACCTTCAACGATCCACGTGGAAACTCGCTCCGTGACCCTGCCATCAGCGTGCACTTCGCCAACATCCAGCAGACGGGCTGCCTGAAAGTCAACAGAATCGTCTTTCATTAGGACTTCCCACAGGCACGCACTCGATGTCTGATGCATGCATAGTTGGCATAGTTGGCATAGTTCAGAAGGCTGGTCGGGCCACCAGTTTGTTACATGCCGCCGATGGTCAGGCGTGAGGTTGAACTGGCAAAGGGTGGCTGTCTGCAGTGTGGTGGACCTGATGCTGTGGTTCGCGCATGGTATGGTAAACGAGGAGCGGAGTGGCAAGTGGAGTCTGGCTGCGATGTAACAGAGAAGGTGAAGGGTCTATTACGCCAGGGCCAACCAGTGAGTGCAGAAACCTTGCTACACGGCGTACCGACCCACAATGGCGATGAGGTGCTGCAGGTTGAGCTTGTGCCCAGGACCGCCGACACCTTCCTGCATGATGAGCCCATGGATGAACCTTGGAGAAGTGATGCCGACCTCGCAGCGCTGGATGCGGATGCAGGAACCCGCTGTTGGGAAAATGCCCTGTTTGGCTGTCCGCGTGTAGAGGTCAAGGAGCGCATGGTTGAAGAACTCGGCCAGAGAGACGGCGATGCCCGGTACCACCAGCTAGATCTACATGCAGTGGGCCTTGCATCTATCAGCAAAATGACGAGGGTGAAGTTTCCAAGACTTGACTGGCTGGGTCGTCTTTCAGGAATCAGCTATATCGTTGGCGAAAACGAGCTGGAGTTGGCGTCTGCCGGAATGCTGAAGTTGACAACCAAGTTTAAGCTTCACGCTCCTTCCTTGGCTTGCGAGTTGCCAAAAGCAGCTGATGGGAATGTGGTGGGTTGTGGCTTTGTAGCTGGACAAAGCAAAGTGCATGTCCACATCTTTGGCCGCGCCGTTCTTCAGGCTGATGTGCAAGGGGGTCCAGTGACGCCCCTGGGCACGTTTAACATGGCTGTGTTGAGCACGTCCACACCCAGCTGCGATGATTCCTACTCTGCCACTGTTCTGTGGGACGAAGCTCCTACCAACCATGTGGGGCAAACCATCCATCTGGAGGAATGGAGAAATGTCAATTTGAATGACGAAGTAGTTGAAACCATCCATGGGGTTTCTGACCTCGAGGACGCACGCAAGCGAGCGCTGGCTTGGATTGCAGAAGGGGGCGCCATTCACAACATGAGGACGGCAGTTCTTACCACACACACCAGCCCAGGAACGCTGTACTTGAAGCAGCTTGTGCGTCCTGGCCCTGGCATCTTGAACCACCCCTGTAGTTACTATGCGGGTCAGAGCTGGTGCGCAGATTTCAGACACCGTGACACTTTCTTTTTTTGTTTGCCAGCAAGCGCGAGGCAAGACATTCCGCCTGCCTTGCTGGGCCGACAGCCATGTTCAGAAGTTGTTGTGATGATGGACTTGCACATATACAAATCCAAGAAGTTCGCGTGGCTTGGCGTGACTCTCGAGACCGAGACAGGCCCTGTAAGCAGTGAGCTCCTTGCTTTGCGGAAGCGAATTGAGCTTCGAACGCCTCTGAATGAGGATGATTACGTGCCACCCGGCACTGTTGGGGTCTCCATTCGCTCAGAGGGTGTGAGGGTGTCACCTTTGTACGTGAGCCGCTATATGACCGATTTTGTGGAGCTCTGCACGGAACTCTGCTGGGTGCGGATGTGTTTTGGCATTATGGTGCTTGCCTTTTGGTCCAGCATGATTTTGTTCAACCCGCTGGTTGTGGAGAGCTTCTTGCACGCTCGCGATGACGGTGAGGACCGTGCCCCAACAGTCAGATTGTGCTTTTGGGGTTTTCTCCTCAGCACGGCTGCCTTGGTCTGGTCCGAAATCCGATTGGCGCTCTGCTGCAAAAGAGGCCAGGAACTTCTCCGAAACCGCAGGGTGGCTTTTGCACTGGCCATGGCGCTAAGCTGCTTGGAAAAGTACGACACGTACGGGGACTTGAATTTCGTCCGCATTGCAAGGCAGCACCACCCGGACGGATTGATTTGGAGAGTGGGCCTTGCAGCTTTCATCGTGGGAGTGGGAGTTATGCAGATCTTGCCATCACTGGTACTTCTCACAAGTTGCGTCTTCAATGGCAAGACTTGCGCAGGGGTGCCGAAGGACTTTGTCCTTTGCTGCCGCTTCTCCGGCCTGCACTTGCTGATGGAGAGCATCAATCCGCGCCATGCTGCTGCCGCGGAGCAGGTGCTACAGCCAGAGACTGGGCAGACCCTTGGGACATTTGTGTTTTTTTCCTCTTAGTGGGTTTAAGAGGATGATACTCATTCCTTTCTGGGTTTAAGAGGAATGATTTTCCCGAATGCGTAGCAGAAGGGTTCTCGTTTTGAGGTTGGGGGTCTGGGGGTTCAGGGAGTTGTGAAATCCGTTCGCAGCGTCGGCAAGCGTCCGTAAGCGTTCGCGAGTGGCGGATTCTGTCCGGACACTGGGGAACTCTCTCCAAAATGGTCGCTTTGTCGTACCGAGCGTATCAAAAGTGCAAACAGTCACAGTGATGCCGTGGGTTGCCCCACATTAGGTGTGTCCTGGAGTCTCTGAACTCAGCGAGGCCTCAAGATGGCCCCCGACTGACCCCCCAACCGGGCCCCCCCCCCCCAACCCCTCGTGTCATGTTGTCGTCGTATCGTGTTTTCGTCTTGTTGTCGTGGCCTTGTGTCGTGTCCTGGTGTCGTGTCCCCGTGTCGTGTCTTCACGCCGGATCTTTCTTTCCGAAGTTGGTGACACGTGCCTGCGTTCGTGGATCCTATTAGGTTTCAGAGGGTTTTAAGAGATCAACCCAGGCGAGGAAGCCAGGAGAGACAGAGATGGGGAAAGACGAGACAGAGGCTGCACCACTGTTGCCACCTGCGAGACAAGCCAGCGTTCAGGCCAAAGAGGAGGATGGAGATGCAGGCAAGGAGCAAGGATCGGGCACAGCAACAGGTGCCCGTGGCTATTGCGATGTACCAGAAAACCCAATAGCGATACATCAGGTCCAAGATGTGTTGAAGCAGAGCAAGCTGGCGCGAGTTAAGAAGATTGTGGGTGCAGTACGTTTCGTATTCGAAGACCTGATTCAGGGCATCCTCCAGATATGGTTTCTTGCCTACCGTTGGGATCAGCTGAACGTTTTCCAGCGGGGGCAAGTCATCTTCAGTGTCACAGCCGGCATCATGGTGTCGTCCGCGGGTCCTTTCCTGGAGCAGCGAAAGCTCTCCAAAAGCACGAGCCAGCTCGAAGGGCATGCTTCTTGGCAAGCCGCAGGCGGTCCGATTTGTGATACACTGGTGGAGATCCTTGAAACTAGGTAGGTCTTTGGGACATTTTAAGTTTCCTTTATTGGCTTTAAGAGGATCTCATCTTCAGGGGTATTCTTCAGTTGGGCTTGACGGGCCATCCTAGGAAAGTGAGAAGAGCTGGGATGGTACCCACGAAGGTGCAGTCCAGCAGCTCTCGTTCGACAAGCCCTTGCGGTGCCTGAGCGATGTGCCCGAGATTTTGCCCAATGGCACGAGGGCCTCTCCCAGGCAGCTGATTACAGGCACTGTCATGTGCACACCGCAGAGGAAGTATGCCACAGCCATAACTCAGTACATCTTGGGTTTTGCGAATGAAAACGGGGAGGCAAGTCACAAGGTGCCACTTTTCAATGGGATGCCCGGCTCAGACCCGCAGGCTAGGAAGGTAGGGTTCAGCATCGAGGCGCCGGACGCTGCTGGAATTTATCCAGTGGGTTGGCACTTTGACATGCAGTACAACATGGAGGACGCCATGGGAAAGTACCAAAAAGTGGCCAAGCACAAGGCCATCGGCTACATCATCGTGGACAACGGTCTGGTCAACAGGGATTGACAAGAGATTGTGTGTTTTAAAATTTCGTCCCGATGGCTGCAGCGGCTTCATGCTGCAGGTCGTTTCACCTCTTGTCTGCGGAAAGTCCGACAGCAGGCCCATTTCTCCACACCGCGGCAGCACGAGAAAAGGATCATCTTTTGCTTTCAGGTTGGATACACTGCACCCTAAACCCTAAACCCTAAGCCCAAAACCCTAACCCCTAAACCCTAAACCCTGATTCTGCGCCGCAGCCCGAGGTGCCCAAGCGGCTCCCCGGCGCGAGAAGCCCTCCTGGGCGGAAGAGGCGCAAGAGGCCGGACCTAGGGTTTAGGGTTTCAGGGTTTAAGGGTGTTGGGGTTTTAGGGTTTTAGGGTGTTAGGGTGTTAGGGTTTTCGGGTTTTGGGGTTTTGGGGTTTTGGGTGTTTTGGGCTTTGGGGCTTTTGGGTTTTTGGGGTTTTAGGGTGTTAGGGTGTTAGGGTTTTTGGGGTTTTGGGTTTTAGGGTTTTAGGGGGTTGTATAGGGCTAAGGGACCCTGCCGCGTTTTCGTGGGGGATTTACAGGGTTTGGGGGGTTAGGCGGTTTAGTTTAGGAGTTTAGGATTGAGGGCTCAGAGGACTTAGAAACTTAGGATTGAGGGTTCTGGGTTTGGGGGTTTAGGGGTTAATTGTGGGGGGTTTGAGGTTCAGGGTTTGACTGGTGTTTAGGTGGTTTGTGTGTGTTGGGGGCTTAGGCTTGAGGGGCTTTTTTTGAGTTTATGGATTAGAGGCAGGGAGGCCTAGGGATACAGGTTCAGTGCCAGGCCTTGAGGTGCAGGGGATTTGGGGATTTGGGGGGTTGAGGACTTGGCACCCCACAACCCGCAGTTCCTAGTTTTGTTTATGTGGGCGGAGGGCAAGCGGAATGAGCCCTAAACGGTAGAGGGCCCATATACCCTGTTGGGGAATTATTGTGGTGTAAGGTGCGCCATCCTTTAAGGTGCATGTAGTCCCAATAAGAAAAGGCGACTGCTGTCCCGTAAGGGCCCTTTCAGGCCAGCAAACCAGCATGGAATCCCTAAACCCCAAACCTCCCCAACGGAAGCGTTGCCGCATCTCAGGTGCTCGAACCCACACTCGCCAAAAAGGCGCGCAGATGTGCAAGTGGGAAAAAGGCAAGACCTGGCTCTTGAGACGAAGGTGTGAGAGTCTCGGTGCCTCGGTTTCAAAGTGTTGTCAGTGTCGCAGTCAAATTGAGGGTGTTGCGATTTGGGGTTGCTGTGAGCACAGTCCAATGGCACACGAACGAAGGTCGCACGGTTTCTTTCTCCAAATGTACAGCGAATCAGATGCTTCTGGAGCCAAACAGATGAATGTGCAACAGACAAGATTGTTTCGATCCTGAGTAGCGCATCAACAGATTTCTTGTGGTCAAGAGTTTTTTGCCGATTGGATTCTGCCCATATTGGGGACGGTCATCCGACCATTCCTGCGCATGTAGAGTAATATAGCCATTCTGAAGATTCCCAATGATCATTCCCAATACAAGGAGCATTGACCATGGATAAAAATGACACTACCTGATTTGGCCACGCTGTTCGCCGTGCCGGTTGGCAGCGCGCTTCATCTGGCCGGCAGCACTCATTGACAGCAGACCTTGGTTCCTGTTCATTGTTTCCTTCCAAATCTACAGCGGCTTATTCGCAGTTCAGCAAGTGAGGCACAACCACGTGGACCCAAGCTTGTCAATAAAAGCTCATAGACCTGTTCCTGCAGCAGCAGGGATACGGTCCAGCAAATGCAGACCTTTGAACTTTGAATGATGTCTGATACCTCTCACGATTGGACAGCTTTTTTCTGGCATCTTTTCGTAGAGACTACAGAGATGTACAAAGAACATGTATTGCGTGTATGATTTGCATTCAGGTATTGGGTCACATTTGGCACATTACAATTTGTTGGACTCAATCGACTCGCAGGTACAGTACGATGCTTACTCTGGCAGCTAAGTGACAGAATGTGCATTGAGTTCAACTCAACAAAGTCTGCTTGTGTGTGACTCCGTGTGTGTGTGTGTGTTGCGGTGTTTGTCCTGGTTTGTTTTGAGTTGTTTCGTGCTATTGCCTCGTGTCACGAGTCACGAGCAAAGCTGTCGTGCCTGGTTTCGAGCAACTTTCGGTTCAAGCGCTTGACGCTTGGGACACGCTGTTCCGCTTTGACTCCGGCGCACTCCGGAGATTTGATCAAACGAAGCTAGCTGAGCATGGTCAACGTTGCCCAGCTGATCCTGGTTTGCCTCACGGCAAGCGACGCATTCAAGCTCAATGGCACCTCGGAAAAGTGTCCTGAATGCAGGAATGGTACGAATTACTATATGTGCAGCATCAGCCAATTTCCCTGCTGGGCCTGCTATCATGGCTTTGTACGCACCAAAAGAGGTCAGTGTAAGCTTGCGGATCCTCTCCCCCCGGACCCGAAGGATGATGGAACAAACTTTTGGCTCGTGGAACCAAATCAAGTGATGAAAGTCCAAGCCATTCATCATTCAAATGCGACTGAATGGCAAGAGGAATCTTCTGCTGATCTCGAGGATTGGTACATGGGTGTAGCTATCGGTGGCAGCTTCATCAACTATGACATCATCGAAATCTTTCCATGGATCATGTATGGACAACCTTGGAACAGTGCAGGGGTTTACTACAAAGAGAAGGGTAAGGGTCGAGAGCTCCTCTACCAGTACAATTGGAATATTCGGCCGGGGAGAAGCTGGAAGGAGGACGGGCCTTGGAAGAACACCCGCGGGGATGTATCCATTTCGTGCCAGGTGCAAGGGAGAGACAAAGGCTTTGAGGTGTGGGGTCACCTGTGCACCGTTCAGCTTCCTTTGTCTATCACGGTGCAAGTGGAGGTCAAGACTAATGAACATCGTGTCTATTATAGGGGCGCGTATGTGGATCCAGCGACAGCCACCTTGCCGGCCAAGCACCTGCCAGACCCGTGGCATTATGAAGTCTTGCCGCAACAAAATTTGTTTAAGGCGGACGATGATATAGGCGAGCCTGGGACCTACTGGATCGTCAAGGAAGAGAATGGTGACGACAAGGTGATGTCGATTCAAGCTGCCTATGGCTGGAATCCCCCGGTGAAGACCCGCGTCATCGCTATCAGTAGTAGTTTCATCCAGAATGACGTCATCCGTGTCTTTCCCAGAGTGCGTGTGGATGATTTCGGAGGACCACCTTCCTCTGACGTTGGCATCAACTACCAATACCACGGGGAATTCCTGAGAGAAGAGGTTTTTTCGAAAGCCAACAAGGTGCCTCTTGGCCGCGACGGACTTGTATTCGAGAACACTCGTAAAGATGTGCACATCCAGTGTGGCGGCATTCTGCGAATGACTGGGCACATGGCCTTCAACACATGCAACATTTCCCACCCAGGCTCTGGGCTCGAAGTCATCGTGGAGATCTTCGATGAACATGTGGATGCATGGGTGAGAGCTGAAAAGGGTGGTAGGATCACAGACCCAATGAAGGTGCAGGGCCCGAGCGTGAGTTGCGCCGACAACCTTTTCCCCTTCTGGTATGGCAGCCCAGAGGAGCAAGACACCGACCCCAGCTGGGGAGACGAGAAGACCAGCAGCCGCCGGCGAATCGCGTGTCTCACCACCGACCCCCGCGTGACTTCTGGCCAAGGAGGCCAGAAGGGTGGTGGGTCAACCAAAGGTGGTGCCGGTGCAACCAAAGGTGGTGCCGGTGCAACCAAGGGTGGTGCCACAAGCAAGGGTGGTGCCAAGGGCAAGCGCCGCAGGTAGCAGCAGCAGAGATGTTTAGTCAAGGCTGTACCTTTCACTCGGCAGATGAGTCGGAAAACTATAGTCTTCTTAGGAATTGTTTTCGTTTTAATTCCTGTAGAACCTAAAGGAATGTAACAAAAAAGTCGGTTATGATTCTTTGCACAGGGGCAGTCGCTTGAAACACCGAATTTGACACCAAATGTCTTGGATTGCAGCTTGGGAACTGAGTCTTTCACTTGCTTTCTGCCATCCAGCCCATGATGAATTCTGTGAAGCTCTTTTCCTGGAAGCCCCACGAATCCCTCAAAGAAGCCTTAGACCCCCTAAACTACCCTAAACCCTAAACCCCCCGCTCCCTTGGCAAGACCAAATCCCCGCAAGGCCTGAGTGCCCTATGCCTACAAATCCGGAAGCCCCAAACAGAGCTGCTGGCCATGGCGCGTCGCACACGAGACACCGGAGGTTTGCCAGGGTTTGGGAGGTTAAGGTTGAGGGTTCTCTACGCCCTAAACCCTACCTCAACCCTCAAACCTTAACCCTAAAACCTATAAACCCTACACCCTAAACCCTATATGGTAGGTTTCGGAAAGGGGGGGCGGGGGTGGGTGGAGGTCTTGCTTGGGAGTCTAGGTCTGAGAGCTTCGATTCGAGGACCAACGCTGTTCTTGAGTTTAGGGTTTGGATGTTTTGGGGGATCAGGAAGCCATGGGGTTCCAGGTTTTTAAGGTTTTTAGGGGTCAGAGTATTGGGGTTTCGGGCTTTAAGGTTCAAGGGGTGCTCAAGCTCAAGGCTCTGGGTGGAAGGTTGATACAGTTTTTTTGGGGGGGTTTAGCAATCTTGCACTCTGAGCTTCATGCCAATCTGACTACCCTATCTTTTCGCACTCGGCGTGCTGGTGTAGACTCCAACCCCAGTACATTTGTGGGGTCCTTAAGAAGGGGGTGATTCATGGGGAGTAGGTATCTAGGGAAGCCTGGGGAGCCTTAGGGAGTAGTGGGGAGTATTCGGGAACCTTGGGGCACATGCCGGACCCTTCAAGTACGATTACGTGCCCTCTTGTTGCTAGAGCCAGCACCCTCTGCGAGAAGGCCTCACCGGCAGCAACTTGGCACGAGTGGTCCGTACCATGTCACATGCGTTGCTGATACTGGAGGCGTGTTCTCTGCATCAAAGACTGGATCTTAAGGAGAGCTTCAATTTCAGGGTTCCGGCTCAGGCATGCGATTCAAGCTCCAATACATATGCATGTTTGTAGGCATGCATTCATACTAATGTTGTCTGCTGATTAGTGTGGCCCCCCCCCCCCTCCCCCCCCCTCAACGAAAGGATCCCGCTCTTTAGAGTGGGGGGGCGGGGGGGGGCAATTTGGGGGGGGGGGGGGGTCTGGTTTTATATGATTTTAAAAGGGATGAGTTTATATGAATTTAAAAGGGATCCATATGATCCATATGATTTTAAAAGGGATGAGCTCGTATGAGTGTAAAAGGGATCCATATGATTCTAAACGGGGTGAGACTATATGAAATTAAGAGGGATCCATACGATTTTAAGAGGGATGAGTTTATATGAATTTAAAGGGGATCCATCTATCCCAACCAAGCCAGCCCGCAAAAAAAAATATAATTCCGGGGGAGCAAACTTTTTATATTATACGGCATGCGGGCAGCTGCTGGACTACCCCCTTTGAAATTTGATTGCCCGGCCTCGGTACAAAAAAATTTCATAAAGAAATCTTAGTTTTGGGTCTGGCCTGAAGGCTGAAGATTTCAGGGCCCGACAACCTCAGGCCTCAAGGTTTAGGAAGCCTCAGCCGTTAGGCCTCTGGATCCAAACCCAACTAGCCCGCAAAAAAAATATAATTCCGGGGGAGCAAACTTTTATATTATACGGCATCCGGGCAGCTGCTGGACTACCCCCTTTGAAATTTGATTGCCCGGCCTCGGTACAAAAGAATTTAATAAGGAAATCTTAGTTTTGGGTCTGGCCTGGAGACTGAAGATTTCAGGGCCCGACAACGTCAGGCCTCAAGGTTTCAGGCTTTAAACCTTTGATCTTTGGTCTCTCAGGCTCGGTTCAGAAGCGATTTATGGACGACAACACCATTCGACAGCCTCGCCGAAATTTTGCATCGCCCGATTTTTTTTCACAATTCCGGGGGTCCTCCTCAAATAGATCCCCCTGAATAATTTTTGGATTTTTTTCCACAATTCCGGGGGAGCACACTAATCAGGATACAACATTACTCGTACCCGATGACCTCGGACGCCCGTTCGTGAAAGTCTATAAGCCACCAATCTCGAAAATCCTGAAGGGTTTCGTGTGCCTTCAAGAATTTGGTACTTAGGTAGGACCTTGAGACATCTCGTGTTTTCCCTTATTCGGCTTGAGAGGACGAGGACCCCTGTTGTTTTTTCAGATGGCGTTTAAGGGCCAACCTGGGTATCACTCACCTCCTTTACCTGCTACAGAGCTTGCGTAGCTCAACTAAAGCGGAGAGAACCATAAGACCCCCATAAGACCGTAATTTTAACGCTACGCGACCCGCCTCGGCCCGGCCCAGCGCATCCGCGTGAGCATGGTGATTCCGCAGCGCCCAAGTCGCTGGACCCCAAGCAATAAGGGCTGGGTTTAGGGTTTAGGGTTCCGGGTTTATGGTTTATGGTTTGGGGTTTTGGGTTGAGGGTTAGTTCAGGATTGAGGGGCTTAGGGCTCAAGGTTCACGCTTTGGGGTTTAGGGTTTTTTTGGGTTTAGGTTCGGCTTGGATTGATCGTAGGGGGTGGGTAGGGGGGGTGGGGGGGGAAGGGGGGAAGGGGGAGGGGGAGTGCTTCGGGCTTAAGGTTTAAGGTTTAGGGTTTACAGGGTGGGGCCCCCTAGTTATAAGTAGAGTTATAAGGGCCCTAAATTGGGTTATAAGGACCCTAAGTTAGGTTATAAGTCCCTTAACTACAGTTAGTATAGTAAGGGGGCCCCACCCTGTAGGTTCAAGCTTAGACTCTTCGATGCTTCCCCGGCCGTGCTCACACCAGATGAGCCTCGAAAACCCGCTCACCAATTTGTGGGGGGAAGGGGGGGGGTGTGGGGGGGGCGGTGGGGTAGGGGGGGGGGGGGGGGGGGGAAAGGGGGGGGGGGGGGGGAGGGGCTTCAACTGCCTCTAGTGGAGAACCGTCCGCTTGCGGACCCCGGTTTCTTAGGGCCTAGGGGGGGGTACCCAAAAAAAGGTTCCGAAATTGGGGGGGGGGGAGGATTGCCTGTTCTGACAACCTATACACCTCCGGCCCGAGGCCTCGGCGCATTCCGTAATTCTTGCCCTCCGCCCTAAACCCGAAACCCTAAACCCTAAACCCTCAAGGCTTGAAGCGCTTCTTCATGTCCGCCAGCATCACGGCCATTGTTCTCTTCCTCCTCCGGGGTGCGCTCCACTTCTCCGGGGTGCCTGGGAACAAGAAGCCGAAAGGGCTTCCGTGAACCATATCCTGCTGTATGCAACCCTAAACCTTAAGGTTTCTCAGGGTTCTGGGTTTAGGGTTCAGGGTTTGTAGGGTAGGGTCTGGGGTTTAATTGGGTGCAGGGCTTAGGGTTTAGGATGTGTTGGCCTACGCCTGCATCCGCGCTCCTTCTGCGGCCCCCGAGGCAGCACCGGACCTCTCAGCTGCAAGCGGGCTGCCCCAGGCGCCTCCCGCGCCAGTGGAGGCGGTGGAGGCAGTGGAGGCAGTGGCGGCCACAGAAGCGCCCCAGCCTCCGCAGCCGCTGCAGGCTCAGGCCTTGGGCTTGGGGTTGTATTATATATCTATATATATATATATCATTAAATTAGTTTTCTCGCTATTACAATTCTGATTTATTTTCAGTATTATGACTATTCTTATTCCTGTCTATCATCATCATCATCATTATTATTATTATTCATTGATTCTTCATTTTTGTTATTGCTGGTATGATCATTCCTACTCCTGTTATAACTATTACTTGGGTTGTATGGATTCTTTTTCGGGCCAGTGTGAGCCTAATGCGGGTAGAACTGCCCTAAGATATGACCCCGCAAGCCGCAGTTCCATTCCACCTCCTGCGGTTCCAGCACCTTTCCTTCCGTGAGGCTGCCACAGGGGCCCCGGCGACGGAAGCAGCAACCCAAGCAGCAACCCAGGCGCCAAGTGTGCCCGGAAGTCGGCCGAGGAAGGCCAGGGCATTCTGTCAGATTCCAACAAGTAAACCCCGCCTTCCACACGCCCAAACTGCTAACATTACTCCTAAGAAGCCTGAAACCGTGTGGTGTGGCCCATCATTCCCTTCAGCAAGATGTGTTCGAGTTTGAGCTTGTAGGGCGCGCAGAACACGAGGAAGGCGACACTTACATTGTGGAAGCGGGATGACAGCTTCAAGCACTATAAAGATGCATGGGGCGCGACAGGGCACAGCAGTTCTTGGGAAAGGGAACTCTCCTTGGATGATGAAAGGTTTGCAGTCCCCCTGGTTGACAAATATCCCCCAAAAACCTAGAAGCCTCGAACTCTCACACCCTTAAACCCCTAGCCAAGCCCAAGCAGCAGCCTAAAACCGTAGCATCCCTAAAGCCTAGAACCCTCAAGCCCCCAACCCTTCAAACCCTAAACCCTAAACCCTAAACCCTAAACCATCCTAAACCCTAAACCCTAAACCCTAAACCCCCCTAAACCCTAAACCCCTAAAAGCCTACAACCCCAAGAACCATTGAGTTGCCAGGCCTGGGAGCTGCACCAGCTGCCGCTCATCCAGGGCTGTGAGCCGCTCCCTTGCACCCAGCGTGGGGTTTGCTGTAGGGTTTAGGGTTTAGGGTTTAGGGGTTTAGGGTTTAGGGTTTAGGGTTTAGAGTTTAGGGTTTAGAGTTTAGGCTTTAGGGTTTAGGGTTCAGGGTTTAGGGTTTACGATTTGGGCTTCAGGGTTGCGAGAATTCGGGGTTTGGGGTCCAGGGTTTACGGAGGTTACCAGGTTTCGGGGAAAAAGGGGTTTGGGGTTAGAGGGTTTAGGCTTTGTGGGTTGCGAGGTTTAGGTCTTTCGGGGGTTTGGTGTTTGTTTTTTTGGGGATTTTGGGGTTTGTGGTTCAGGGGGTTTTGGGGTTTAATTAGGGTAAGAAGGGTTAAGAGGGGTTTAAGGGTTTTAGGTGTTCGGCTGGCAGGCTTTTTTTAGGGTTTAAGGAGTTATGGGTTTTCGGCTCCGCCATCCCCAACTAGCACTTCTTTGGGTCTTGCCTTCGGGAGGAACCCTCTGATACTTCGGGGCCCTAAGACCCCTCATTACAACCTTTCCTGGGCCTGCCTGGACCCGCACTCAGCAAAGACCCTCGAATCCCTGACAACATCTAAGCCCACATCCTTGAGTCCTACAAGCCCTAAACCCTAAACCCTAAACACTAAACCCTAAACCCTAAACCCCAAAACGCTCAAGAGACTTCGAACAGACTCTGGTCTCCCCCGCCTTTCCGATAATGTTGAGGGCCCATTAATTTACCGCTCACGCGCGGAAAGCATCATGAAGCCTCTGAGGCACTGCTGCAGTGAGGCCGGATCTTCGACATGTGCAACTTGTGGGCCACCAATGCTTGGAAATGAATGCTCCGGGGCTTGTGAAGGTATTTAGGGCTGTAGAGGTTTAAGGGTTCAGGCTGTTGAGCCCAGAGGGAAAATGGTAATGGTTTAGGGCTTGGGGCTTCAAAGGCTGAACAGGTGGGCTCTCCTGCTTGTTCTCATGCATGTGCCTGAAGCTTGGAGCTTTTGAGGCTCGGGCGTGCAGTGTAAAGTACGAGCCGACGTCTCCTAAATGTTGATGCTTGTCGCGCAACCATGCTGTTTCACAAGGTAGTCTGAAGTGCACAAGTGATCTGACACTGTTGATAGAGTTTGTGCGTACTTGTGTGCATATGTGGGTGGTCACGGCTCTGAGGCCAACTTGTGATTAGCTCAGATAAGGTTGTTGAACTAGTCTTAAACTCTTTAACAGCAGACTCGACTGCTGTCAGTGAAGTTCGGCACAATATGGTCAGCTCGTTACATCGTGGTCCGTTCATTCCAAAAATCTAGCATGGAAGAAGCTCTTGCGCGCTAATTTAGACTAAGCGCTAGCATCGGTGTTCTGCCAACAGCCGCCGTTCAGTGCCATAGTGTCATACTAGGAGCAGTGTAGACTGCTTGGACGTCCTGTTGCATTGGAGCTAGACGAACTTGGGTGCAGGGCTTAGGGACCGGACCTTTCGAGAAACTTAGGGATTTAGGGTTTGTGATTAGAAATTTTGGTTAGGGTGTCGGGTTTAGGGTTTAGAGTGGCAGGACGACCGCAACGCGCCCTGTCTCGACGTGGAGCGCTGTGCTGCTGCTGGCCCCGAGCGAGGTGGCGCTTCAGGATTCATGGGTTCCCCTACTACCCCTACTACCCCCCCCCCCCCCCCCCCTAATTCCGCCCGTGCTTAAGGCTATTTTCGGGATGATTAAGCCTAGTTAAAGCTATTTAAGGGGGTAACGTAGAAGGGGGTAGTAGGGGAACCCATGAGAATGCACACGGGTTTTGATATATAGGGCGGAAGTTTGAGATGTATTTGCCGGAGGTGTTAGACTTGCCAGGGTTCATGGTCTCAAGGTCGCTGCCGGCTTTAGCTCAAGGTAGCCTGCCCTTTTCTGTAGTCGTTTTTTGGGGGGCTTTGCAATGCTCCCTGCCCTTCCCTTTTGCTGCAAGCCATTTGTGTTTCGGAGGCTTCATTCCCAGATACCGGCCATGCCACAATCCCGAATGTACAAATCAGATAAGTCACAAAGACCTGACGTTATCATCAGTCAAGATGTCGCTGAGCAACTAACAACAATCAGAATGCCCAAGCGCCGTCAGAAGCCGGACTCAGAAGCCGGAAGACCCAGTGCTCCCAGGCAAGTACGCGCTGGCCCTGAGTCATTGGGGGCGACCCAATGAGGTGGAGCTGGGGGCTTATTTAGGATTTAGGGTTTTGGGTTTTGGGTGCAAGACCCTGGGTTTGGGGTTTACATCCAGGGCTTAAGTACCTGAATCCATGGTCCATAAGAGTGGGGCACCCGCTATGGTCGTGAAGGAAATCCGGCATGAACCTGACCTCAACTGGAGCACTTCCCTACACCCAGAAACCCTAAGAGCCCTATGCCATCCTAAACCCAAAGGCCCCAATGGACCCAAATCCAGGGTGTATAGAGTTCAGCCCGGAGACTTCAACCATTGAGCCCCTAGATCCTAAGCCCTAAACCCAAAGCTGCCTTAAGAAGCTCGTCCTCTCCATCTGACGATGCAGACAGCAGATCTACAGCCTGAGCCCCATCAGTCGATGCACCCGCTCTTGCTTCTTCACCAGATCCATCTTTGACAACAACGGCTACGGAAACAACAAGTGTCACCTTCCGGTACAACAAAGAAAGCTGTTTGTACGTTGCCAGGGTGAATGTTTAGTCCACCGGAGATTGCTGCTTATTCGCTGCCATGATAGCCATGATAGCTGTTTCGTCCACACGAAGAACTGCTTGTTCACAAACAGATGGCCGTTTAGTCGACCAGAAATAGTTATTTCTTCTCAAACAAAGAGGATGGTCCACCAGAACTACCTGCTTATTCCCAACCAGGATAGCTGTCTACTCTGGCCAATAGTGTTGCTCACTGCGTCGATTCTGCCTTGGAAGCTCCTCCATGACTTGGAGAGGATAGGCCAACCTAAACCCTAAACCCCTAAAGAAGCCATGCGATATACTGTCTTAAGGGACGAAAGGCGGGACCCTTCGAAGGGACCTTAGGAGTTCTTTAAGGGGTGATTGAGGGGCTACTTAGGTATATAGACGATTATATAAGGTATATATAGATTAAGGGTCCCTTCTAAAATTCCCTCCTTATACCCCATAAGGGCCAAAACCCTAGACCCATCCCTTGTACAGGGCATGTTGGGCTCCATCAAATCGATGCGCGCTGCAGCAGACCTGCTTGGTGGAGCGGACATCTACATGGAGCCTTGGCTGCAGCGTTTTTAAGGGTAAAGGGTTTTCAGGGTTTAGGGTTTGAGGGTTTGAGGGTTGAGGGTTTTAGGGTTTAGGGTGTTTAGGGTTTAGGGTTTTAGGTTTAGGGTCCACAGGAGATGAAGGCTTAGCCCAGTGGCCCTCTGCCGTAGTAGTCTTCGTAGCCCTTTGTTTGGCCTGTCAACCAGAGGTTTTGAAGTGCTGACGTGGCCAGGTGTAAGGCAGAAGACCTTGTGGACTGATCAGTATTGAGGCTTAGGAGTTTTTGGGGTGCAGTGTTGGGGCTTCAGGGTTCTGTAGGCGACAGGCGCTTGCTTGGGTGTCGGTTCTTCTCTAGGCCGGTCGGAGGAGTTTTGCTTCATCATAGGGTTCTATTATGTTAGCAATAGTGGGACCCTCGGAACAACGCCACAAAAACCAATTTACAGGTTGCGGGTTTATGGCTCACGTGGTGCCTCTTATGGATGCATCGAGCACGCAGACGGACTTTTCTCAAGCTTATGCTGGCAGCAGCTGTATGACTTGGGATGTTCCCCCTTATACTAACGGTCCTGAATCGGTACTATAGCACCCCTATTACACATTTCCCAGTAAGGACTGTTAGCATACGGGGGAACAGCCCAAATCTATGACCCCCCACGCTTCGTTCAACAGGGCCAGTTCGCCTTCACCCCACCGGAGGTCATGCTGGAGACAGATGCGGCGCAGATGACCCCCAAGATCTACAAGCTCTTTGCCAAGTGGGGCGTGAAGCTGCACCTGGAGCTTTGAAAGCTTATTTTGTAGATGTAGACCCAGCAAGCATAGCATCTTTAACCCAAAACATGTCCCCCTCTTCATGCCCGCCTATCAAATGCTTCCCAGCTCCCAGGTACCCCGTGAAGTGGGATGTTCCTCCTGGCATGAAGCACTACCCAAAGACGGAGCCTCGTGCAGCAACTCAAGCATACCCCGACCCGGGCCTCAGTAGGGTATCGGGTTTAGGGTTTCGGGTTCTCAGTTGTCCTCTAAATTAACTTACTTCTTTCTTGAGAACGCCCGTTCTCTTTCGCTTCTCTTTCGCTTTAAGGCCTAAGCCGTTGGGACCGCCCGTTCCCTTCCGTTAGTTGCATCTTTGTCCTTGGTTGCTTTGTTCGGTTTGTGTGCAGTACAGATAGCCTCGGCGTAAGGTATCTGCACTAGGCTTTAGGAGCTTGCCATTAAATCTCTTGCATTCTCCGGTGCTCAGCTCGACACCGTGATCTCCGAACGGCTTGATTTCATCTAGTTGACAACAATCCTTTGAATAGATGGTGCTCTCAAATAAGGGTGCGTACCCCTTTCGAGGGTGCCTATACTGAGGAGAACAGCGTCCTGGGGGTACTTAAGGACCTTAATTCGTAAACGCTCATACAGGTTTGCAAACTACCTGTCGACCTGCCCTCCATCATCCTCCCTGCGCGCCCTCATTACGCAGAAGCCTAAGCCCAAAACGGTAATCCTAACAGGAACTTCCCCCATGCAGGACTGGTGCGGTCACCAGGACTTAATTCGGCTCAACGTTCTTGGCATCGAGGGCTACGATGCCGTGGCCTACTTTGATGGAGATTGCGAGTTCCAGGCCTAGGGTTTAAAGCTTAGGGCCGAAGTGTGATAGGCCGCGTACACAAGCGTGTGTAGATTAACGTCTTTATTTGCTTGATGTGTTTGTATTGTGTTCATTTAGTATGGTCCCGTTTATGGGTCGGATGAAGAAATTGGAAAGGGATCCAGAAACGGAACAATCATTTAGGGAGCTCTACTCGGCTTGTAGCAAGAAGCCTGAGCTGACCAAACAATCATCCTCGGAGAGCCCCCCCCCCCCCCCCCCCCAAACACACAAAAGCAAACCAACAACTCGTAACCCCAACTCGACATCACTTAGTTCAAGCCTCGTGCTTTATGAAATTTGAGTTCGGGCATTTTATACACAGATTCCGGATGCTGCTTGTGCTACTTTCGGATTGCACTTGCCGAAGAAACCGATTGACCGAACAGGGCGACATCACGCCGATGATGCGCTGCGCTGCTACGGGACGATTTCTGAGCACCAGCGGTGGTGACTTCTCCTGCAGTTGCTTTCAAAGCGGGGCGCATTCTTCCTCTAGTCGACTCATTCTATAGCCTATGGCCCGTCAGAGCTCATCCCCAAGGGTTGACCAGTTTTAGTACTCCTAGCAAACTGTGCACACATGTTTATGAACCCTAAACCCTAAACCCTAAACCCTAAACCCTAAACCCTAAACCCTAAACCCCCCTGTTTCAATCTTCAATCGGCCATCAGCCCGGCTCAGCAAGCACCCCAGCTCAGGCCAAACCTTCAAAACCCGAAGCCGTAAGCCTTCAGAACCAGAGTCTGGGATTCCAAATCCCCAGACGCAAGGCCTTGGTCGTCTTTAGGTTTCCCAAAATAGAGGGGCCTCTTGGGCAGGATAAGTTGTAGTTTTTTGGGAGGTATTTTGTGCAGTGGAGCCCTATATTGGTACATGCGCGTGCCAGTCCAGGGCCACGATGCACATATTATAGGGGTCGGAATAATAACTACATAATACTTTTCCCTTAGGGTCCCTGTATAATTATACTAGGACAACCCCCCAAAATCCCTGTTCTAATTATGAAGGCCTCTATGTTAGGGCGACGATGCGCATACAAGGCATGGGCGAAGCGCTCAACGTGGGTTTCTTCGCCGTGCGACCCGACAAGCGCCTGGTGGATGCTTCGGCGACTTGGTCTTGTGATCCCCAGGGGTTTAGAGTTTAGGGTTTAGGGTTTAGGGTTCAGGGTTCAGGGTTTAGGGTTTAGGGCGTGCTGATGCCGCAGTTGCGGCGTGCTGCAGCCTTCATACGGGACATTCATATCAAGTACCCATGATGACAATGATTTCGATGTTGAATTGGCATGTGGCCAGCTTTGAACTGCTGATCAAAAGCGACAAAGTGGTTCGTTTTTTGATTCTGGATTTCCTTCAAGACATTAATTTGAGCGCTGCCAACGCTCAGATCTACTTTGCTCGCGAGAACGCCTTCGATCGCGAGACTGGGCAGAAGCGAAGCCGTGAGAACCCTCAGAACCCCGAGTTGGCAAAAGTGGCACTGTGATCCCTTTTGCAAGGGTTTTTTGGGTTGAGATTTATAGGGTTTAGTGGAGAAGCTTCTTTGCGGAAGCCGTGTTACCCAAAGACACCAGGACTTTGAGCTGTTTTACATGTAATACATGGAATGCTCAAGGCCTGAGAGTCGTCTGATGATGCAAGGCCATCAGCTCCATTGACATTTGAGCTCTTAGATTTGCAGGAGTGCAGGCAGTGCTGAAATCCATGCCATCCCCGACTTCCACACGTGCTCTCTTGTTGGTGTACATGGGGGTGTGTATTCAAAATTGCGTTCACTTACCTCCCCAAGCGCATGGACGTAGTTTGCAAGAAGTCTAGCCTAGCAAACTGGATCGAAATAGCAAACCTTGGCAGACTAACCCTGTCGCTAAGGCCCCCCTTCAGATAGGAGGGCCCACAAAGGAAACCGGATGGGGCGGTGTCGGCTGGGCCCCCACTGGCGGCTACTACGTCGGTGGCTGGGCGCAGACACAGGTAAAGACCGAATGAAGTTGAAGTTTACCGCAATGCACATATATGTGTGTATAATGTATATATGAATATCTACCTTTTTTTAATATCTGCATAGTTGTTATCATTAGTACATACACACATACAAGTTTTTGTGTGTGCTTGTGCGTGTTTTGGTCTTTTTCTTGTCGACCCTCGCCCTGTGCATGTTTTTGCCATATCAGCGTTTGCTTCAAACAGCCCTGAAATGTTTCTGCAACGAGGTGGCGAGTGTGGGCAGGGCTTCTTCTACACGCTCTTCTACCGGCGGACGCCGAACAGCCGCCGAGCCCCATGGACCTGGTCGAGAGATATTGTCTTTTCAGAACCCTAAACCCTAAACCCTTTCAAAATTCTTGGAGGGGGCCCTAGGGGAGGTGTAGCGCTTGTCAGCTGCAGAGCCTGCAGCAGAACTTCTAGAAGGGAACTTGAGACCTCATGGGTCGTTTGTTAGTGGGGCGATTTGAAGTACCCCCCCCCCCCACCATAAAAAAGAATTCAAAGTATAGTTACCCTGCTTGCAAGCCCACGTACACACTTAAGATTTCGACCACAAAGCCCGAAGCCCTGAAGCGCGAAAACATTAAGGGAGCTCGGAACGCTTGACGCCTTCAGCCTGAGACTTTTTACTTCAAGAACCGTCTGAAGTTAGAGGTTGGATTGCCGCTGGAAGATTTCTGTGATCATTGCTGGCATTATCACCAGAACAATACGCTACTCTTACGTACTCTTACTATTGGCACTCACGTTTTTATGATTCCTACAAATCTTGCGGCAATGGGCACCATTATAACTAGATTACAAGAGAGGGTAGCGCTCGAGAAGGGGGTGGAGTCTCTCCTTTGTTTGTTCTACCTTATTTACTCGAAGGTATTTCTTTTCAATGCCTCAGGCTGCTATGGCTGAGATGGTCAGAGCATACGAAAAAATTTGGACGTAGTCCTTCAGAGTATGTTTGCACTGTAGCGCAGAACGTGTTGCGTTCTGCAGGTGTACGCCTACTATACCCCAAATTTCCACAACCCTTGTCCAAATAAGAGAAGCAACTGTGTCGCGCACTTTGAATATAAAACAGGGTCTGCGGAGCCAAGTCTCCTCCCCCCAGACCTTCAAGAAAGCCGTAGCTGCTCTCAACCCTAACCTCCTAAACCCTAGCATCCCACGCTCCCTCAGGAGTTGAAGTATTCTAGAGGAAGAAATGATGGATCGATAGATAGATAGATATATATATATATACACACATTATGTTTGTTTTTCCTTTTGCCCGCGCCCTCCTTCTACGGGTTTTCCCCCCATAACAGGGGGTATGCTTTGTTGGAGGGCTCCTAGAAGGATAAACAGAAGTTGGAGCACACCCAATCAGGGGGCCGATTTGAACCTCTTCTTAACTTTTTAGTACCCCCCCGCCCCCCCCCCCGAATCCCTATATAGTCCTTTTTTAAGCCATACAAATTTGTTTTCTTTTGGGCCCCCAAAGCTGCCCTAGCAATGTGCTTGAGGCACTGGAGAGCGTGGGACTTTGGGACACCTTTCAGTCCGGGCAGCTCCTGAGCTTGTTCTTAGGGTTCAGGGTTTAGGGTTCAGGGTTTAGGGTTTAGGGTTTAGGGTTTAGGGTTTAGGGTTTAGGGTCGAGGGGTTCAGATCAGGCTTGCGAGCTCCACGCAACTAGTAAGATCCGGAAGGCCTAAGCCCTAAAGCGCCTAAACCCAAAGCCCCAAGCACCAGGTGAGGGGATTTGGTGAAGTGCCTGTGGAGCTGTGAATCTGTGACTTTGGGCCGTGGGGATGTCGACATTCGCGCTATAGAGATCAGCCCAGTTGAGGAGCTGTGTCAGCTTCCTGCAGGTAGCTCGTCAGCCCAGTGGGAAACCCTAAGCTCTCCACCTCTTAAGGCTGGACCGTTGCATCTGGAATTACCAGACCGCCAGCAACTGCGTGAACGACCTGGACTGCCGCCACGACACCTGCCTCCATGGGTTTTCACGGCTGGAGCTTGAGGATTTTGCCGATTCAGGCACTTCAGGCTGAGAGTTTGTTGGGGGCTCTTGAGTATGGGAAGCCCAGGGAATGCTTGTGCTGTTTAGTACGCTTGCTTTCAGCCCTGATGATGTCAAAGACCTCATACTTTTATCCTTCTCACGTATGGGAGTGGAGCCTTTGCCCCTGGCGAACACCTTGCAAAGAACACCGGAATCCCTTCCTCCCAGTGCCCACATGCCCAAGCAGACCCAATCAAGTGCAAGCCTCCAGCCACGTAATTAGGCCTCAAACCCACAAGCCCGGAGTTCCAAACCCTACACCCAACTCTCGGCCACGTTGCCGTGCGTGAGGTCCGAGTTCATCACAAGCCCACACGCGAGCGGGGCGCGCCCATCGAGTGTGACAAGATCAAGTTCAGGATTGCTTGGTTGGCCCAGGCTTTGAGTCGGGGTCCGTGCATCCTTGCACGGCTCTTCACTGCTCGTTGTGCATGTAGTGAGTCTGAACCCCAAACCCTGAACCTCGTGTTTATCCGCCCATGCCCCGATCCCCAAGATGGCCAGTCCTTGAACCCGAAGCCTGAATTCCCAAACCCTCAGTTGAAAGTTTGCGGCCCCAACTTGTGGCCACTTTTGTCGCCTTTGCGCAACCACTCCCAAAGCACCTCACAAGAACGAGGAGGCGACGTGAAGACCTCTTGCGCCGGCAGCACGAGGCGGATGTTTCACATCATAAGAACAAAAAATATGTCGGATCCGCAACTTTGCGGTGTTTGATAGAATTATGTATATATAATTGTCTGGTATTCGTTTCATCGACGGCGACATGTCAGTTTTGGGGGGGGGTGCTTCAGGTCTCGACCCCTCCCTGGCCTTAATTTTTCCCATGGTTCTTAGGATAGATAAAAAATGTATACCCTTTAAGGGATTATATAGGGCCCTCATTCCCCCACTCCCACTAAGAACCAGCCAGTTTTCGTGCTGCCAGGGTCTTAGCCAGGTGCGGAAACCGCCCACAGCGGAGGAGCTGCGCTTGGCTCGGGAAGGCCTGGCCATCCGCATCCATTCGCCTCGAGTCTCTAGATCACACTCTTGACAACTGCCTATATATGTGTATATGTGCTTATATATATATATATATATTTTTTTTTGTTTTTTGAGAGAGAGAGAGAGGGTACCCTAAATATGAGGCTCCATGTTATATTCTCGGACCCACCATGCACAGCCTGGGCCAGGGAAGCTGCTAAAACACTTGGCGGGTCTTTGCCTTCGAGCGGCCGAGGCACGCCGTCGCAGGCTGCAAACGAGATGCGGGGGGAATCTCCCTTTTGGTTTCTATTATAAGGCGGCCCCTAAAATTTTTTTGGCACCCAAAAAAAGGACCACAATTTTCAGAACTGACCATGTGGGGTTGATCTTTTTAATTATGGGCCTTAGGTACGTAAACTCTTTAGAAGTTTGGGGTGCCCATGATTGAGATCAAGCCCCGCGTGGAATTAAGGTTTTTGTTTGGAGTCCGGATTGGCGTCTGGGAGTTGAAATTCCGCACGTGGTGCTGCTACACAAGCTGCAGCAACGCGCCTCTAGGCACGTTGAAATTCTACACAGCGCTTCGCAGAGTGCCACTTTCCAGGAAGGAAGTGACGAAGAAACTACACTGCTGCTGCTCAGCTGCGACTTTCCTCCAGAAGCTTGGCTTTGTTTGGGGGCCGTTGCACAGGCAGGGGGCGCCGCGAGGTCAGAATGAATTGAAATCCCTAGACCCTAAACCCTAAACCCTAAACCCTAAACCCTAAACCCGAGCTTCTCTTGCGTCAAGCTTTGGGATGCCAAGCCAGAAGGTTGAGCAGAACATCCGCATCGTCGACGACGGCACGGGTGGAGGACTGCTCTGGGTTGCATCAAAGAGGTTTTAGGGTTGAGGGTTTAGGGTCGCGGGTTGAGGTTGAAGGGTTGAGGGCGGAGGGGGTCATGGAGAGGCTGACAGAAGTGCACACCGCGAATTGCGTGAGAAGTGGGCCTTTCTTTTTGCATGACAGCCTCCGCTACCCGGCTCTTCACTTGCATTCAACCAGCTCAGTGCGGCTGGCATGCGACCACTACTTGGAGGTTCATGGGTACTTATGACTCCCGAAAAAACTGTAACTTCAAGCCCCTAAGCCGCCTAAGCAGGTTATAAGTAGACTTATAATTGGGGTTACAAGTACGTATGACCCTCCAAGTAGCCAGGGCCCATTGCATGGAAGCAAAAGAGTTTCCCAAAAAGGGGTTTAGTGTAAACATAGTCAACGGCTTCAGACCTGAGGTCTATACTTGAAGGTTCCCAGCTAGTTGCCCATCATCAGGTGTCAATCGGTTATTGCCATTTATTGCCCTACCATTAACCACACTCACACCCATGATCCTCCGAGTACAGGGAGGCCATTGGGTTTAGGGTTTAGGGTTTAGGGTTTAGGGTTTAGGGTTCACGGTTTAGGGTTCAGGGATGCCAATGCTTTCGGAGGGCCAGTCCATCGTCAGAAAGTCAAAACCTCCATGTTGCCAGGATTTGTTCTTCTGAAACAGGGTGGCCGGCCACTTCGCATGCACCCGGGTAGTTCCTCACAGTAGGATCCGTATTTTTATTTTTGAGGGTGAGCCCTAGTAAGGGGTTTTTGGAGGTTCTGGATATGATCAGGGCCCCCCTTTCAAGGGACCCTGGGTGAGTGAGCTGGCCATGCTTTCAGGGGAGTAGGGTCCAGGGCCTCCGCAGTGTGTTCTGATCTGAGGATGGGATATACATGTCAGAGGGCGCACAATGGGTATGCCTAGATGCCCAGATGTAGCCGTAAGTTTGGGAATCTAACCTCATCTCGTCAGATGTACTCTGTACCCTAAAGCATGCTCGGCTGCGTCACCCTAAGTGCACGAAAAGTCTCATGAAGTACCCAGGTGCCACCGTGATTCCATGCAGTAATTGGTCTCCCCGATGTCTTTCCAGCATCCCGACATCTTCATGGATTTCTGCTGTAGGCACGCGGTTTAGGGTTTAGGGTTTCCCTAAACCCAAAACCTAAGGCAGTCTCCTTTGCCCCCCTCGCAACAACCGGAAGCAGAGCGAGTTGAGGTGTGCGCACGCTGAGGGCGATGAGGATCCGGAGATGGCACGCTCAGGGTCGAGGGCGGTTTAGCGCTGGAGGGGAGACGGGGTAAGTCGAACTACGGCTTGAGTTTGGACAGAATCGACAGGTGTTCGGTTTGTTGAACAACAACGGACGTTGTGGTGCGGCAGGTATGCAGATTCTGTCTTTCTGCACGCTCAAGCACCTAAGCTGAAGACCGCTTGCATTGCCCTCTACCCGGAGCAACCTCTGGTAGGTATACGCAATAATTACAGCTCTCAAGCCGACTGTACTTGACACCTTAAACCCAAGCCCCCTCTGTGGCGAGCCTGTTTGACTTGGGGGTGTTCATGGGCAGTTAAGTGGGGCAGCTAGAACGGGGTGTACTACACACGAACCTCGGATGCTGGGGATTCTCTGAATCTTAAACCCCTGAGCCCCAAAAGCCCCTCGACCCCTCAACCTACACCCCTCGACCCTGAACCCTACATCCCGAAACCCTAAATCCCTCTAACCCTTCTGCCCTAAACCTCTAGGACCCCCAAACCCCTAACCCCTAAACCCTAAACCCTAAACCCTAAACCCCTCAATCCCTAAAACGCCGCTCCGAAAGGCGCCTTCAGAGCCCAAGATTGGCTTTCCCGTGGACTGCGCCTCCTGGAGTTGGAATGTTTAGGGTTTAGAGTGGTTTACGTAGGGTCTAGGCTTTAGGCTTTAGGCTTTGGGCTTGGGGCTTTAGGCTTTAGGCTTTAGGCTTTAGGCTTTAGGCTTTAGGCTTTAGGGTTTAGGGTTTAGGGTTTAGGGTTTAGGGTTTAGGGTTTAGGGTTTAGGGTTTAGGGTTTAGAATGTTTAGGGTGTTTAGAATGTTTAGGGTTTAGCATGTTTCGGTTTTAGGGTTTAGGGCTAGTAGAGGGTTTAGGGCATGACGCCTCCTCCAATGTAAGGAATGTACTCCCTACCTAAGAGATATTGGGGCTCGAGGTAGGCTTATACTTTAGCTTTTTATGGCCTCTGCTTGAGACATCTGAGTAGGGTTTATATTCCTTGCATCCCCAAAGGACACGCAACGTATACACTCACCAATCTTGAAAGGGAACCTTATATACACGCACCAAAAACAGTAGTATAGACCCTTGTTTCGAACAGGGCATCTGGGACCTTTTTAAGGCTTTCACTGGCTTGAGGGCACCCCAAACCCTCTACGCCCCAAACCCTACAATCCCCACCCATACGCCTTATAAACCTTATAAACTCCAAAAGCCCTAAACCATGAACCACATGCACTCTATGAACCCTCTCAACCCTGAACTGCCCTAAATAATTGCCCTAAGCCCCCTGTAACCTTGGGAAATGATCCCAAGAATGGGGTCTTATACCCTCTACTACTATAGCCCCTCTTAAGGCATACCCTAAACTCTAAACCCTAAATCCTAAACCCCTGTAATGCCCAAGGCTTCCTCCGCGGCGCACGTCCGCTTCCGGAAGCTGCCATCGGGGGCGAAGCCCGGGAGCTTCGTTCTCCAGCATGACGCTGGGCCGGGTTCAGGGTTTTAGGGTTTAGGGTTTAGGGTTCAGGGTTTAGGGGTGTTGGGGTTAAGGGGTTTAGAGTGTTTTGGGTTTTGGGGGTTAGGGCTTATAGGCGGGTGCAAGCTCCCCCTGACAAAAAAACAAATCCCCCCTCAACCGCCTCGACACCTCCAACGCGCCAGACGTTGAAGAGGGGCGTTGCATGAGTTTGCCCGTACAGGGTGGGGCCCCCTTACTATGCTAACTGTAGTTAAGGGACTTATAACCTAACTTAGGGTCCTTATAACCCAATTTAGGGCCCTTATAACTCTACTTATAACTAGGGGGCCCCACCCTGTAGGGTTGTAAGCTCCAAAATGGCAAGCCCTCAGTCCCGGAGCCAGAAATTTGCACCCGAAGACCCTGCAAGCCATAACCCCTAAAACGTCCGGAAACCTGCAAGCTCTCAGTTTTCCCGAAGATCTCCCTAAACCCCAAAACCCTAAACCCTGAACCCTAACCCGAAAGCAAACCCTCACTTTCTCACCTGATCTTCGGGCTCCTTGCGCCGGATGCCCAGGACTCTCAGCGCTGCGTCCATCCCTACGAGGGTGCCGTGAATCCTCGGGAGACCCCGGGGCTTGACACCCCCAACTTGGGACATCAGGGGTGTCAGGGTATCAGGGTGTTCGCGTAATGTTATCTAGGGTTTAGGGATTTTTGGGTTTTGGGGTTGTTGGGTTTTGGGGTTTTGGAGTTGTTGGGGGTTTTGGGGTTTGGGGGTTCTAGGGCTTTGGGGGAGGGGGGGTATCTACGTGCTATCACAGTGCTTGCTTTGCTAGATCGCGCTTCCTAGCGAGGGTGAGAATGCCCGCACCCGTCGCTGCGATACTTACCTGGTAGGAATCCACCCTGAATCTAATTCTTCATCCGATGAAGATAGTAACTAGAAATATATTGCATGAGTTAGCCTAGAGCGGAACAAAGCATAATGGACGTTAATGAAGACAAAGTCAGGAGAAAACCGACTTGATCCTGCATCCAGATTGTGACAAGGGTCGGCCAGCGCTTGCCTTCGTGGAGGACAGGTCTTATTTGTGCCTGTCAGCTATGACGAGGTGGAGGTTTCGATCGTTGGTTTAACATTAAAAAGGGGGGGGGTTAGGGAATAGGGTTTAGTGGTTGACTACTTGACTGCTCAGACTGTAGATGCAGCTGCCTGCAGGAGGACTCCCACGGCTGAACGCATTCTCCAGCCCGGGCTCACTCTTCCTGCGCCAGAGAAGTCGAAGCTCACCTTGCAACTCCACGCCAGGCCTGCTGCAGGCCTTGCGTCCGCAGGCCTTGCATCCCTCCTGGTGTCGCAGGAAAAGGATGAGGTTCCAACTGTCCTTGCCTGGGCGAGCGCATCTTATTCATGCGACCTCTGCTGTGACTCGTCCACGCGCCTCCTCCGCCGCGGGCACTTCCGTTGGCCTCCATTGGTGTGGAGAAGTCGGCCCTCGGGCGTGGAACCCTCTTGGTGTGGAGACTGAGTCAAGCTCGACCCAAGATGTGTACGGACATCTGCGCCACCCAGGCATGTCAAAAAGCGTTTGCTGACCTAGGAAGAGCCTGAGCTTTGTTTGGGTCTTTTGTGCAGCTTCTTCTGCACCTGTCTTCGCAGCAACAGGCTGTGCAATCCTTGCCAGACAGACACATGTATATGTGTACACACATGTACATATGCGTACATATATATATATAGACATATAGACATATCATGAATGAAAGTTTTGTTGGGCGGCCCAGAGAAAGCGTAAAACCACACGGCTCAAGGTGCTTGGCACATCTTTATTATCTGGACACAGAGATTCTGTTCCCTGCATCGAGAGTCGGCGTGCAGATGGCAAGAACCGTGTGTGGCTCACATAGTTTCTCTCATCCTTATCAAGCTTCTTTCGGGTTTGGGCTGAGAAGTGTGACTAAGCCGTTTTCCGGCCGATGGAAAGGGAACGGAAGAGCCGACCCCCAAGAACTATGCTGAGGATAATGTTCTCTAACAGTCCTTTAAGGTAGGGTCAGCTTCCCCATTTTGTGCCATGTTGGCAGTGCCGAAGCCGGGCAACAAGGCCCTGCGAGCAGCTCACGAATTCGTTCGGTGGGTTGAGGGTGTGAGGTGTCGTTAGGGGGGTTGAAGTGCCAGCCTCATCCCCACCACCACCACCACATACAACTTCTACAGAGTGTTTAGAGATGTTACAGAGTTTAGGGACTTTAAGGGGCCATTTCGGGTCAGAATCTTTCAGCTCCAGGCAGCTGGGCTCTTCAACAAAGTCGCTTCAAGCACCTAATCCTTTGACCCTGAGCCCCTGAACCCTTCCTCTGCAAGTGCATCGAAGTCTCCTTTCAGGGGAGGAAGGAGGGGGGGTTTGTAGCTATATAGGGATTCAGGGAGAGTAAAAGCTTATGGGGTTCATGAAGCTCCTACAGCTCCCTCGGCTCTGGCGAGGCAGCTGCCGCCATGCGCAGCGCTGCTGTGTGGAGGTGGCCGAGCCTGCTGTGGTTTCTAGGACGCCCAGTAGTGCGGCATCCTACTTCCCTGCCGTAAGGATGGGATCCCTCATGTAAAAAATGACACACCTGGTTGTTCCTAGCTTACTGGGCAACCCAGTGTTTAGGAAGAGCGAGCTACAGGATCCCCCCCCAGCAGGGCACAAAGCGATCTCGACATCGAGGCAACGCGCAGCCCCCCCAGATACTTTGCAAACAGCCGGTGAACACCCTGCAGTACGGCGATGGCTCGCCATGCAACCAGCCCGACTTGTAAGTAATTTCGCCTCAGATCACTGGCCCCCTGTCGTTGGGATTCGTGTGAAACCAGCCCAAACTCCCAACTTGCGAGCTCACAGACATGTCATGTTAACGCGGAAGCCTCACCGCCTTTTGTCTACAACTTCAACTTGATCGCAACAGCCTCAAACTCCAGGATGAAAGCTGCACATTGTCAACAACAGACCGTTCAGAAGGCCATGAAACCCTAAACCCTGAACCCTGAACCCTCAACCCTAAACCCTACACCCACCGCCGGAACTTGCATGAGCTCGCAAGGGCACAGAGGGACTGTGCAGGCCGGCGGCAGCGCGCTGGCGCGCAGCGGCCGCCGCAGCCCGCTCGCAGCATGCACAGGTGGGCAGTGATAGGTCTTTTCATGTATAAAGGTTGCTTAGACTGGGTTGTTTATATATGTATATACAACACAGATACATATGTACATATGTATACTTATACATACATATATATATATACATGTATACATACATATCGACCAGATCTCAGCATCGCAGATGCAAGGATGATAGAGCTTAAGTCGGGTTTCTTCCGCTCACCGCCACTTGGAGCGCAACTCCCAGTCACAACGCCGAAAGCCCAACTGCAGAAGCCCACCTTGGGGACCAAATGAACCCCAACAGGGTCTATGGTCCATATACCTTTATAGGGAATATAGTATGCCCTCAACCCTAAACCCTAAACCCTCAACCCTAAACCTAGTAGTATAGGGTATATGGCCCCAATTTTCGGGTTCACTTGGTCCCCCCAAGGCACCACAGCACCCACGGAACGCTGCTAAGCTCTTGAGCCTTCCAAACCCAAGCAGGGCATGAGGACTGGCCTGGCTCTGGTGGCGACGGCTGGGGGGCCCTGAGACGGGGTCTAGGGTTTATAGGGCTAAGAGGAGTTACAGGTCATAGGGCTCAGAGTTTGGGTTTTTAGGGCGGAGTTCAGGAAGCAGTGAAGTCTAGCTTCAGAGTTATAAGGTAGTGGTAAAACAAACATGTGGCATCTAGGTTTATAGGGGTTTGTTGGGGGAAGGTTTTAGACTGCAGAGTTAGAAAGCTCCTTTTTTGTCGGGATTAAAGAAGTTGCGGGGATTACATACGTCATTCTGTGGGGTTTAGGCCTTTAAGTTGTGTCTGGGACCAGCTTCACACTACCACCCCTGCTGCTTCTTCCTGGCTGCTTTCGTTTGTGCTTGAAGAGGGTGGCAACAGAAAGAAGCCTGGATCACAACCGTGGGAAAAAAACAACAATGCCAGGGCTCAATAGGCTTCTTCGGACATGTCTTCTCATGAGACATAAGCCCTGTAGACCCGAAAAAGCCCTAAACCCCAAAACCCCCCTCTGCCCCTCTGCCTCTCAGAACCCTAAACCCTGAACCCTGAACCCTAAACCCTTAATCCTAAACCCTAAACCCTTAAACCCTAGGCCTAAACCCCCCAAACCCCTTAACCCCCCTCAAACCCCCCCAAAACCCCCCAAACGCCAGGGCCTGGCAGCCCGCCGACGGGGCGTGGCAGGGCCACTGCCCCGAAACTCGGCAGCTGAGGCAGGGTTTAGGGTTGAAGGTTTGAGAGTTTTTGGGCTTTCCAGGTTCTTGACGATTTGGGCTTGCAGAGTTTTAGGGTTGTTCGGCGATTTTGGGGTTGCCGGGGCAATCGGATTTAGGGTTTCAGGAGTTTGCTAATCACGTGATGCTTTACGTCAAGGTTGTGCCTAGGGGCTGGTTTTCATCTTGGGGCTTAGCCTTGCAGGGCTTATCAGGGTTAGGGTTTAGGTCTGATCGAGTCGGGCTGTGTAGGGTTCATCCCTCTTTCTTGAACAGTACACCTCCCGCAGTAGCGCTTAGTAATGTCTGCTCAATATAGGTGATTCGACAGATATGGGGTGGAGAAAGAGTTGGATGTTCAGGAATTCAGGCCGTTCAAGCTTCCATGAGCTCCAATCAAATCGCCGGGCAGCCCCCCTAAACCCTAAACCCTAAACCCTAAACCCTAAACCCTAAACCCTAAACCCTAAACCCTAAACCCTAAACCCTAAACCCTAAACCCTAAACCCTAAACCCTAAACCCTAAACACTACGCAGCCTGTGGCGCCGGACGACGTGGCCGAGCTCGCCGAGGCGCAGGCGAAGGCAGGAGCTTCCGTCGTCCGATGCACAGGAACGGGTTTGCCCCTTGTACTAAGAGGGTTAGGGCTTAGGGTTTAGGGTGTAGGTTTAGGGTTTGAGTTCTTATACCAGTCCTGAATAGGGATTCTAGTCCTATTATCATCCAATAACAGTATAAGGGGAAACATCCGAAGGAAGGGGCTTGTCGGCTCTCGGGGCCATTCATGTGCACACCATTGTACACCCAATAGTTCACGAACATACACACATGCGGATCCTAAACCCTATTTAGACCCTGAACAATTTATAGATTCAGGGGTCAGGGTTTGGGTTTAGGGTTTAGGGTTTAGGGTTTAGAGTTTAGGGTTTAGGGTTTAGGGTTTAGGGTCTAGGGTTTAAGGCTTAGGGTTTAGGGTTCGGATCTTTTGAGGAGTCTGTCCAGGTGAAGGAGGCAGAGGAGGCGGAGGCCGCCAGTTCCCAGCGTGTGGCGCAGTCTGGGTCCCAGGAGGGTTAAGGTTTAGCGTTTAGGGTTTCGGGTTTCGGGGGTGTGTGGAGTGTGTTGTACATCTCTAAGTTTGTGTACATGTATGTATCTGGCTAATCTCTATGTCTATATCTGCACAGTTGAGAGTGCCAACGAGCGAATCGATGTTGCGCTGCAGGTGATGGGATGTGGGGTGGGGGATGGGGGGTTAGGGGGGAGGGGCTTTTTCAAATCAGTGTCCTTCCTTTGGTTTCCGGCTTATGAGTTTTCATACCTTTGAGGAGACTCGAACTTAGAACCCCCCCCCCCCCCAACAGAGAGAGAGAGAGAGAGAGAGTTCCGATTTGATGCTGTCTAAAGCTGGTGGTCTTGAAACTTACAGGACTTCAGTCTGCCGCTCTGGCTCTTGATAACGAAGTTTTCATCTGCGAAGCCAGTACCTCAAAGTTCATGGGTGGCGAACTAAGGAGGGTTATAAGCACTCCCAATTCTGCTACGACCGGCTGTAAATACCCCCAGTTAAGAAGCTGTTCAAATCTGCCCATGGTAACTAATTTTCTTTCCATGGCTACAAGATCCCGTTCTTTTCATGGGTACCACCTGGTCACCTGCCCTCAGGAGACCCATGAAGCCCCAAGCAAGCAATGAACCGCACGTTGTTGGAGGTCAATGGAGCTGCTGGACGAGTACAGCGAGGCTTCTTCTGCCGACCTTGACATGAACAGCCCTAAACCCTCAGCCCTAGAACCCCTAATCCCATCTTAAGCCTTAGAAGCCCTAAACCCTAAACTTGGAACTTTAGAAATCCTGAAGTTTAACATGAACACTGAAA